CACTATTTTAAGAATAGTTTGGGACACAAATAGTTTGGGACACAAATAGTATATAACGTAATATTGCATTCAAAAAGAAGAATGAAGAGAAAACACAGGGTATTCTGGATGATTAAAAAAAGAAGAGTTAAAGAAAATTACCAGAGAAGTATTTATGATTAAATCAAACTTTTACAGCAACAGTTAGCACGGTTAACAGTAAAAGAAAATGAACTATCTTATTTTTTTGTTGTTGTTTTGAGAGTGGGCATCAGAATTTCACTTTAATGTGTGACATTGCACACGCAGAAAAATGACAATATCTTATCTTATTAGGCTATTATAAATGTTTTGATGATGAACTTTTACGACCTCTGCAAAATATACAATATCTATTTTACAGGGAGGAAAATTCTAGAGACTAATACAGCGCTAATATCTAAAGAGGGACAAGATATGATTTTAATAAGAAATTATGGAACAATATCATTATTGAATTTAAATTGTTTACAACAATCCTAGCTGATAGATTGAAGATAATTTTGCAAGAATTTATTCATGAAGATCAGTGTGGGTTTTTACCTATAAGACAATTAAAAGATAATGTCAAAACTGCTAGATATTCTAAAATATTTATTACAAAACAAACTGCCTTGATTTGTTTAGGTCAGGGGTAGGCAACCTTGGCTCTTTTATGACTCGTGGACTTCAACACCAGGAATTCCTGAGCCAGAATTCTGGGACTTGAAGTCCACGAGTCAAAAAAGAGCCAAGGTTGCCTACCCCTGGTTTAGATGTAGAGAAACCCTTTGAAAATTTGAAATGAATTTTTCTTTTTGCAATTTTGGAAGATATGAATTCTGGGAAGAATGTTATAAAATGGCTATAATCGATTTATACCTCACAGAAAGAACAAATTATTGTTAATGGAGATTTAACAAAACCATGTGAAAAAGGAACACGACAGAGCTGTCTTCTTTTTGTGTTCTTGACATTTTGAATAGAGATGTAAGATGGGATGAGGGAATAAAAATTTAAAAAGAGACTTATAAGTTAAGAGCTATAGCAGATGACAGTGCTGTTTCTGGAAGATCCTTTAAAAGGTATTAGTGGGAAAAATAAAAGAATTTGGTGCATTAGCAGGTTTCAAGATTAACAAAGACATTAACACAAATAAAAGGTAGACCAGAGGAATGCTGTGGACATAATTTACTTGGACTTCAGTAAGGCATTTGATAAAGTAGACCACAACCTACTACTTGATAAGATAGAAAAATGTGGGTTAGACAGCATCACCACCAGATGGATTCGTAGCTGGTTGACCAGCCGTACTCAGCATGTTGTCATCAATGGAACGGCATCTATATGGAGGGGAAGTGTGGAGTGGGGTGCCCCAGGGCTGTTCTGGGCCCAGTGCTCTTCAAGATCTTCATCAATGATTTGGATGAGGGGATAGAAGGGGAACTCATCAAATTTGCACACGACACCAAGCTGGCAGGAATAGCCAACACTCCAGAAGACAGGCTTAAGATACAGAAGGATCTGGACAGACTTGAACACTGGGCACTATCTACCAAAATGAAATTCAATTGTGAAAAAAGGTTCTACATTTAAGCAAGAAAAACCAAATGCACAGATATAGTATAGGTGGCACCTTGCTCAATAGTAGTAACTGTGAGAGGGATCTCGGAGTCCTAGTGGATAATCTCTTAAACATGAGCCAGAGTATGCTGCAGCTGCCAAGAAAGCCAACACAGTGCTAGGCTGCATTAACACAGGGATAGAATCAAGATTACATGAAGTGTTAATACCACTTTACATTGCCTTGGTAAGGCCACACTTGGAATACTGCATCCAGTTTTGGTCACCACAATGTAAAAAAGATGTTGAGACTCCAGACAGAGTAAAGAGAAGAGCAACAAAGATGATTAGGGGACTGGAGGCTAAAACATATGAGGAACGGTTGCTGGAATTGGGTATGTCTAGTTTAACGAAGAGAAGGGTGAGGGGGGACATGATAGCAGTGTTTCAATATCTCAGGGGCTGCCACAAAGAAGAGGGAGTCAAAGCGCCTGAGAGCAGGACAAGAAGCAATGGATGGAAACTAATCAAGGAGAGAAGCAACCTAGAACTAAGGAGAAACTTCCTGACAGTAAGAACAATTAACCAATGGAACAACCTGCCTAAAGAAGCGGTGAATGCTCCAACACTGGAAGTTTTTAAGAAGAGACTGGCAGCCATTTGTCTGAAATGGTGTAGGGTTTCCTGCCTGAGCAGGGGCTTAGTCTAGAAGACCTCCAAGGTCCCTTCCAACTCTATGATGATGATGATGATGATGATGATGATGATATAAAATAAAAAAACGATGAATAAAATGGGTTTTAAGATTGAAAGTAGATATATGGCTATTAGTATAATAAATAAGAATTGAATATAAGGTTTTACAAGATATAAAAAAAAGAAGGCTTGGGATTACCCTATTTAAAATTGTATTTTGCAGCTTGCTATTTAGTTGGATGAAAGAATGGATGTTGGTAGAAAAGGTTTGGAGCTAAAAACACATGACTTGAAACTTGGGTGGTTTGTATATTTATACTAGGATAAAGCCAATATTTTATTGAATATTGTAAAAACCATTTTTTAGATGTACCACTGTAGAAGAATAGAGAAAACTGCATGTATCTGTGTTTCTTTCCTCCTATTTGAGCCCTCTCTGAAACAGATGGAGAAGGAGAAGAGAGAACAAAGGAAATATGCATGCTTTTGAAACAGCAGTGGCTACTTCCAGAAAACCTGCTCAATAAAAAAAAACTTTTTTTTTCACAGAGGCAGAAATGTTGGAGGAAAAAGAAGAGGCACAGCCAAGCCAAGCTCAATATTGGGAAAGTGCTACTGCTTTACCTGCTGCCTATTAATAAAGAAGAACATAATAATAAAAGAAATCCGGGGAAGGAGAGGATTAAAAGACAGACCAGTATGTGTAACAATACACTGTTGAACATGACTGAATGGATAGCATCATCATCATACTAATAATAGTACAGTACCAATAGTAATGTTAGTAGAAGTATTATATAGCAGAGAATAGTAGTAAAATATTGTATACAGAAATGTTTAGAGAACACTATATACTACAAATAGTAACAGAAACAAAGGGTGGTATAGGACAATTCACATAGAAACCTGCATGTTTCTATGTTTTACTTTTATATCTTGGGTATTCTTTTCCCAAAATAAAGCCAACTCTTTCAGAGAGATATAAAAACCCAACTGCCTAGGATCCAATGCTTTTAATGGATTTCTGGAACTTAAGTTAATCACATTTTTTTTATTTATCTATATATTTTTCACATTTCTGTACTGCCCATCTCACTCAAAGAGGGACTCTGGGTACAGTGTACAATAAATTGGGTATAGTTTTAAAAAAAACACATTACAGCCATATTGAGAATATGGAAGAGATATAAACTAGACTATACTTGAAAATATCTTTGTGGATATAAGAATCACTTTGTAGAAAAGAAATGATAAGTAAGCTCAAATGGCTAACTAATGTGATATATTCGTTTTTTCTCAATGAAAATATAAAAAGTCAGGAACAGATTTGGTGATAAGAGGATATACTTGTCAATGGTTTTTTTATATACCATTCTAAGATTTAATGACCTCTGGGTCTGAGCACTGTAGGATTGATTTTGAAACAGGATTGTGTACAAATGATAAACATATTATTGCTAAGGTGTATATATTTCTGCTGAAATTTGAAACAGAAGAGCAAGTAAAAGAATGTATGATAAAATGAGTTACAATCTTTGCTTACAAGATACAAAGAGAACAGTGGGAGAATATGATTGAAAAGATTGAAGTTTACATTATGTTAAAATGTTAAGAGATTTTTTAAATAAATAATGTTATCAATGGTATATGTCACCAGAATTGTCTAGAATGTGTAAAGCACTTCAAATTTATGTTAGGAATGTAAACTAGGGGACATTTCATAATGCTTCGTTGATGTGCAAAAAGCAATGTTTGTGATTCAATTACATATACAAATTCAGAAGATTTTAAAGATTAATATACAACTGAAACCAGAGGTTTTCATTTGGGGCTCACTGATAGACAGAAAAAAATAACTGAATTTTGTTTTTATATGATAACAACAGTGAGACTATTATATGCTCAAAAACAAACATTACTCATAATGGAAGAATGGATGGTGACGATGATAGAAACTTGATGAGATGGCCAAATTGGCAGCTTTGATCAGAGAAAAACATTATCTATGTTGACTAGAAGCCATGTATAGACTTTCTATGTGAAACAGAAAAAGTGAATTTATATGTTTTTGATTACATTATCGAAAAAATGTAAATCATGTGGTAACCATAGAGTAAGATAAATATACTTACAAATGCTGTAAAGAAAATAAGAATCTACTTCTTTATATTTTCTTTCTTGCACTTTTGGCATTGTCTTTTCCTTTCTTTTTTTCTAAATATTAGTTTGTGTTAGTTTTATCTTTTTTTTAAAAAAGAACTGATATAAAAAAGAACAGTGAGAAGTTTAACAGTACATTTATTTAAATATCCTTTTCTTTCTCTTTTTTCTTAGCTTTAATTTCCTTTATCTATTATTACTCATTTGTTTTCTTTGCATTACACGGCATATCCCAAATGGGAACAGCATGTTGCTATGTTCATACATACACTTATTACTGTGCCATTTCTAAATACTATTTTGAATAGCATGACCTGCTCAGATTGCACAGACTGTTAAAAAGTAGAACACAATGGAAATTTTGTCAATATTCTTGATTAGAAACAACAGCATCAAGGACTTCTAGGAATATCTCAGAAGTTAATTTAAATATTAGTGTCTGCAAAAAGAAATGTCAGAATGATCCCGTGACTTTCTTAAATTACTGTTTATGATATCACTTATAATTCCAAATTGTAATCTGATCTGGAGAGCATCTTATAAACATAAAATAAAATAACTGCACATGCCACTCTGGACCCAACCTTCAACGTTTCTAAGCGCTCAGAAAGAGGCAGATCATTCACTTCCACAATGAATTCTTCTAGAGCCTTGGGCAATTTATGCTGCAATTCATTCCTCTGGAGAATCAAGCTTTGTACTTCATCCTGTGTAGAAGAGAACACACAACTGAGGTCTTCTTCAGTAGAGATACAGATACTCATCAACTTACAACCACAATTGGAAACAACATTTCTGTTGCTAAGAAGAGGAGTTGTGCCCAAGTTTATGACCTTTCCTGCCACAATTGTTAAATAAACCACTGCAGTTGTTAAGTGAATCATGCAGTCGCTAACCAAACCTGGCTTCTCCCATTGACTTTGCTTATTAGAAACCATCTGGAAAGATCACAAATGGCAATCACATGATCCAGAAACAATGCAGCCCCATCATAAATACATGCCATTTACCAAGAATCCAAATTTTGATCCTGTAACTTAGGGGATGCTGTGACAGATGTAAGTATGAGGACTGTCACTATATTCAGTGCTGTTGTAACTTTGAACAATCACTAAATCACGAATGGTTCTAAGTCAAGGACCTTCTATATAGGACAACACTATAGGACAACCCCAAATTAAGGCAGTTAGTAGTCGATCATATGTGAAAATGAACTTAAGCACAAGAAGTGTCAACTGCTGTCTACAGTGCATCCTGATTTACCTTCAGGTTTTCTACAATCTAATACAGCAGTGACATTACAATGTTGTATCATGTACACATTTATAATACAAGCCAGTACAGATCAATCTGCAGATGAAAGCAAAAGCAGCCAAATTCTCAATGCTTGCAGTTAGACAAGTGAGCAACAACAGAAAGAACATCCCTTCGGGAATTCTCAAAGTTTTACTGTTGTTTACAGCAGTTCTCAAGCAGTATGTTCTTTTTCTTTATTTGCTGACATATGATAACCAATGAAAAAGTATATACATTAATCTCTTTACATACCTTTTATTTATTTTAAAATAAATTATTATTATTATTATTTTTAAAAGCTGTATTTGTTAAAGTTTTGTCAAATATTACACCATTAATTACTGGACTCTTCCCAAGCTATTTTATAGGATATTTTAAGACCAAAATCTTATGTCTGTTTCTACATGAATTTACATAGCTTTTCAATCCAGATGCTGAGTCCTTTGGGGGGGGGGAGAGAGATAAAGAGAATACCCAGGGAAAGTAAATTTACTCTCTCTCTTGCAAACATTTACAATTTAGTAATAGAATAATCTGTAAGTAATGGGCATGCAATAAGCATAACAATCATATAAAGTTAACAAGATCAATAATATGAATGATAAAAAAGATACAGAAGCCTTAAATTTAATTTTCACTCAAAACTTCCTGTCACTGGCCCTACCCAATATAATAATCTTCCTGGATGTAATTATTAAAATTGAGTTTAACTTACTAGTAGCTACATCTGGGAAGATTATTCTCGTGAGGACTAGCAACAGGAAATTTTTCATTTGACTAGCAAGCTGTAAATTTTTTAAGAAGTTCATTCTCATTCTCTCGCTCATTCACACACACACACACACACACACACACACACACACACAGAGAGAGAGAGACGTTATTGCAGTCTAACAAATTCTCAAATTATAGTGACTTTATTCAACTATCCCATTGCTGATCAGCAGAGGAAAGAGAAAAGCTGCAAGAATTTGCTGGTGATTACTTGCAAGTTTCTTTCTCCTCTTCACAAAATCTATAACCTGTGATAGCTCTAACGTGGTCTAATGGTTAAGGCCTAGAAACCAGAGGACTTATGAATTCTAGTCCTGCCTTAGGCTTGAAAGCCAGCTGGGTGACTTTGAGCCAATCACACTCTCTCAGCCAACTCACCTCACAGGATTGTTGTGTAAAAATAGGAATATTATAGATGTTCCCCATCTTGAGTTACTTATAAAGTAGGATAAAAATCAAATCAATTAATTAATATGGATACATCATATATTAGCAAAATATGGTCACATTTTAAATCCTTGACAATTCTTTTGCTAACAAGCATAAGCAGCTATATCAACAAAATTTAAGAGAGATCATTGAAGCTTATGATTTGCCATAAAATGATATATCACTTACCACATGTTTACAAAGACGTATTTTTTGCTGGGAGATGTTATAATCTGCCCATATCTTTTCCAGCTTTTCCATGGACTGGACGGCCAGAATTTTCTCTTTGGAAACTATATTTGCAGCTTCTAAAAGATCTTCTCCAAAATGAGCACTTACATGTTTTTGCCTGAATAATATTTAAAAATGAACATTTATAATACTATATAATTAAGATCCATTATATAATTAAGGTCCATTGCTATGTATCTCTTACAGCTATTTTTACTCAATAAAATATGTCCTTAATATCCCAAGTATAATTGATTCTATCTGACATGCAGTAAAAGAATACATAAGAGGAACAACAGATTAAACCTTTCATGTAGGAATATTATCATCAGGCACATAATGAAATAATATGCTTAAGTAACTGTATTCAAAGATAAAGCAATACTATTTATCAGGAAAGCATAAACTGTAGCCCAGACCATGTTCAGTCTTTGAACCCTCTTGTTCCCTTTCCTCCTTCCTGCACCTTCCCATCAGGTTGCCTGCTGCCATATTCCCCTTCATTTCCTTTCCCTCACCCCAACCTCCTACCCTCCTTCCTATTTCTTCACCAACTGCCAAGCTGCTAACTTCTATTCTGTTTCTTATACCTCCCTGCTTGCATCTTTTATTCCAACTCTTCCTTTTGTATTGCTGTCTTGCTTTCTTTCCAGCTACTTTCTCTGCCTCATGACACACTATCCTTTTCTTCACATCTGCTCAAATTTTTCACTATGCCAACTAACAAGGGGTATTGAGGGAAGGGGGGGGTCAAAGAAATCAAGATGGCAGCCAGAACAGAGACCTTTTTACATTTGTTGAAGTTGGTACTGTGATCCACTTTTATATAATCAAACCCATTGGCTTAAATACTATATATAGTTATATTTTTATTTATGTTAAGTCAATCACGCTATTTGACATTGTGTGAAAAACCATGTTTTTCTGCAAAGAGATCAGAAAACCCTTTTATGGAACTACTATGTCCAAGACACTTTAAACAACTTCCCATTCAGTGAATTTATCTTTAAAAAATCAAGGTTTAAATGTTCATTGCTCTTTGAGATAATCTGTTCTTGAATTGTCAAATTTTGCACATTCCTACTAAGGTCTCTAGCCATTACTGAAAAGTAAGCTGCCATTCTACTCAATTAACTGGGCCCAAAACATATTGTCCTCTACTTATGACTGTAATGGAGCCTGAAATTTCTGTCATATGTTATGGTGGTCATAACGTGAGGCACTCATTTGACCAACTAAGTTTTATAACCTTTTTGCAGTTATTAAGAGAATGCAGCTGTTGTAAAGCAAAAGCTGCGGTTGTTAAGCAAACTCATTGTCTGCAATGAGTATTTTTGCAAGAAACTAGAAGTAAGTTTTTGTTGACTGCAATATCTCAAATTATTTCTCTCAATAATCCCCAGCTTAGTTTGCTATGTCTATTTCATAAACTATGTTTAAATAAATCATAGGTTATCATAAGAGTAAACCAATGTTTGAAAAAAAATATCCAGGATTATTATCACTTACATCAGTTATAAATTATCCTTTACAGATATAGTCTGGAAACATGCATACCTTATTTCTTTCAATGTTTCAAACCTGGTAGCCAATTTTCTCACTGTAGTTCCTACATAAGTGAGCAGCCTATTTTCCATATAATCAAGGCTTTCCTTGTAAGCTTTCTTCTCTTTCTGCATTGAATACCAATGAAAGCATTAGCCCTACTTCTTTCAAGCTATCAATCTTTCACTGAAGAACTGCACAGGACTAAGTAAATCTTTCATACAGGCACACAGATTTTTGCTTTAGGAATTAAAATCACAAAGGAAAACAGTGTTGGCATAAATATTTTAACTGGAAATGGTGGCGAGGATGAGCCAATATAACAAGAGAGTAAGCAGCTTTTCAGCAGTCAAGGGCCACATTTATTATTACTAAGGAAGGCAAAGGTAAGCATGATAAAGCAAATTGAAAGAAGCTATGTTACACATTTGGACAAGCAGGCAAGGCAACATTTTCCTAATATGGAAGAGTTTCAGAGTTTGATTTTAAGACCATGATAAGCTTGTTTTACAGCTTATACTTTTGTGGGTTTCTGCCTTAAATGGTGATTTTTAGCAATCATGGCCAGAAGGGCTTGGTTAGTAAAAGTGATTGTGGACTAGCTATCCTTGAGCTAAAGAGTACCAGGTTAACAAATGCTACTCTAAAGACTTGCTCATTTTAGCTGGATCTCTATTGTCTCAGGCACCTTCATCATTAATTACATTTGGTCAGGCCCACAGAATCCACTGACAGAAGTTAAACACATTAAAGAAAGAACATCAAGGTCAGTGTTTCTCAACCTGGGCCACTTTAAGAGTGTTGGATGTGAATTCTTGAAGTCCCTATTTCTTAACCAAGACTGATTGTGACCAAGGCTGAGAAACACTGACTTAGATCATCAAGCATCCACCTTCATTTTCCACTAAGGAGAAAGGAAGCATGTTTTCTACATCATTTCATTATTGTAAGACTGACAATTACATAATTATGGATGTAACAACATTCTATTTATCCTACCTCCAAATCACACGTCAGTTTATGTATTGTTGATTCCTGTATTTCACATTGATGGGAAAGAATTTGGTATTCTTTTTGGAAAGTCACCTTTTCTTCTTTTAGTTTCTCAGTCTCCTCAATCAACTTCTGATCCTCTCTGATCTTTTCCAGGCTAATATCTGATATACTTCTAAAATCACAAATTACCATTCTATTATTCTTGGAACACACAAGGAAGATTTATCAAAGGAATTTTAGAGGTGTGTTTTAAGGAATTGTGTCAAAAGTCTATCAAGTACATCTTTACTAGCTAATTAATTTATCTTTGATGTAACAAACCTGAGTAAAACAAGAGCAACGTTTATGGCTCTGCTTCCTAAGAAAGTAACAATATCTTTTTCCAGTATATTCCACTCTACTGCTAAGCTAGCACAAAAGCTTATTATATGCATTATTCCCAATGGGTTCAAAAAGTTCACATCACACATTAACACTTGGATGGTAATTAAGCTTCAAGTTCAATTCCTAGAAATCTGTGGTACATCCTTGTTTTATTGACAATATGAAGATATGTTGTCTTGAGACTTTTTTCACCTTTCAACTAAAAATATACGCAACCTTAGGATTACTTGTTAGTTGACCATCCAAAACTATGGGTACCTGATTTTACTTAGCTTTTTCAAGGTCATCTATGATTGTAATCAAGACAAACACATAGCTTTCTCCCTTTTTGCTTGTTCTGTAACTATTTGTTCAAACCCATAGAAAATGTTAGCTGCTTTACATGGGGTCAGAATCAGAGTCTACAGGGGCCTACAAAACCTCATAATGCTGTAAGCCTCATAGTGCTATAAGCTCTGGCCCTATTGCACATTTTTCATGAAATCACACATACATACAAAAGGCATGGAGCTTGTGTTGCAGCAGTGCAATGCTTAGGACATCCCTTTGAATATATATTTATGGTGACTATGTAGCACAAATACTAGTGAACCCAAACATGTGCTTGCAATTCTAAAATAATACAGCTATTTGGGCTGAGACACACTTTAGAGCTAGCAGGAGAATTAATATAGCATCTGCAACATTTTAAAGTAGTCACCATTTTCCATGCTGAGCTATTATGTTGTTTGTTTTATGTGGTTTTAAAACATAAAACCGTTGGGCTTTGTAAGCAGTGGTTTACAATTTCACGTTGCATGTCTTTCTCATTTTTTTATATACTTCGAGACTACATTTCAAGACTACTGTTGTAAAAATGAAAAATGGGATCTCTGAAAAGATTACCTGGAGTTTTCTAGCACATGTCCCACATTGACACATTTTAAGTAATAAAAACCTTCACTGGTACCCCTATGGCCACTTATAGTCAAAGAACGGATTTCTGAGCACAATTCCAAGGTTTCTATGGTGTAAGGGGCATAAACTTCAGCCAACTTAAGTAAAAGAGTTAGGTTGTAAAATAACATATTAGAATGCCTGCTTCATTGAACCTATCTTAGAAGGTTGAACCTGGGCTTTAAAAAGCCACAAGAATATTAATCTTTTCTGAACACATTTTATTTAGCTTTTCCCCTAGGAAGCTTTTCTGGTTCTATGATGAAATAATAAGTTTTGTTCAAGATAAATCTAACTTCAAGTCGAAAGAAGATTTTGAGTCAGAAAAACGTGTTGCCTGGTTTTCTTATTTATAATTTTAAAATTTAGGCAGGAAAATGCGTGGATTTGAAGTGGTTCAAAAGGAATTTGAAATTGTGTTGTATGTTAATGATGAACATCTTAGTGTGAAGGGGTTTTCTGAAGAATAATCATTTAAACTGAATAATGGGAACAGAGAGTAAATCGATAAAGAACATTTCTGTCCCCAGCAATTTAAAACTAATAGGGTTGTCAGTGTTTTTAACATAGATGTTTATGCGGATAGGAATATTAACATTAGTATTAAGAAAAATTAAGCCTTTAATAGTATGTGCCATACCTTGTACACTATCAAACAGGTGGTAAGTATGTAAGGGAATTTAGACACAAAACAGGTTATATAGAAATCAGACAAAAATACTTGTATACCAATGCATAAGTATGAAGAATAAACAGGGTGAACTAGAAATCCAAGTGTCTATGGATATTCCTAGTCATCCAGATCAGTTTTCTCAAAGACGCTTTTTAAAAGGAAACTGGACTGTTTTTATGTGAAGAAAAAGAAGACATTTCGCTTCTCATCCAAGAAGCTTCTGAAGCGAATTGAGATAAAAATCAAAGTACATGAGAGTAGATATATTGTTACCATTACGGAAACTTGGTGGGAGGAAACCCATGAATGGAGCTAGACAGTGCTTTTTTTGTAAAAAAAAAAAAAAAAAAAAAAAGGTGCCAGAACTCACACACGTCATACAACCCGCCTTGCCTATCCTATAAGGCAGGGCTTTTCAACCTTTTCACCCATTGTACCACTTTTCAGATAAGGCAATATACGAGTACCACCACTCGCAAACAAGGTATCAAAAACTTGACCCCCCCCAAAAAGGAAAAAAATGAGAAAGTACAGGTAGTCCTTGACTTACAACAATTCGCTTAGTGACTGTTTGAGGTTACAAGCGAATTATGACCATTTTTCACACTTATGACTGTTGCAGCATCCCCAGGGTCTTGTGATTTACATTTGGATACTTGGCAACTGATTCATATTTATGACGTTCAGTGTCCCAGGGTCATGTGATCAATGGCGGGGGCGCATGGCCAGCTGATCACTCAGGTTGCAGGGTGCCTGTGGGGGGGAATCCGTGGGTCTCTGGTGGAGGGGGATGCGACTGGGGCAGGTGCCTGCCTGCCTGCCTTCCCTCCCTCTTTCCCATTGTCCCTTCCTTCCTTCTTTCCTTCACCTCCCCCTTTGTCCCTTCCTCCTTCCCTCCCTATTTCCCATTTCCCTTCCTTCCTTCTTTCCTTCACCTCCCCCTTTGTCTCTTCCTCCTTCCCTCCCTCTCCCATTTCCCTTCCTTCCTTCTTTCCTTCACCTCCCCCTTTGTCCCTTCCTCCTTCCCTCCCTCTTTCCCATTTCCCTTCCCTCTTTCCTTCATCTCCCCCTTTATCCCT